TGCAAGGCCCTTTAGAGACTGCTCCCCTTCTATTTATTACCTGATATCAGCACATTACTGAAGATAATTGGCTGACATTTCTATCTGCACTACATTTTAAAAATCTTAATGGTTTAATGACAGGCAATAACCTAGAACGTGACCTGTTTCCATCTGAAGTTCACCTGACTGGAGGCAATATAACGTTTAAAGAGTCAGCACGTACTTTTACCCTTAAGATAATCTGTTTTCCTTATTCTTTGGGAAATAACACAACAATCAAAACACAATCCTGGAAAAGTAGAATGTTAATGGATGAGAAAATACTGCAATAAACAGATGGCCCTGAGCTGCTCAAAGCCTGATACCCCCATATACCACTGGGCAGAGTTAAAGATGGCACCTGTGATTATTATGGCTGCAGCATTGTAACAGAGAGGTGAAGGCAGCTCTACATAAGCCGTGTCAAAGGTTGGAACATCTCATTCCATCCTTCATTTAACTTACTTTTCATATTATTCATCTGTTTACTCCACATTATTTCTTCTAATTCACTAGTTCTCTCTTCAGCTGATCTGTTATTTAACGTGTTTATTGTCCTTCTTGTATATTCATTCTAATTCTAGAATTTCTACTTGCTTCAATTTTTTCCCATAACTGTCTGCTCTTTCTTTATAGTGCTGTTCCTGCATAATAGATTCTTTCATCTTTGACCATTATCAGCCTCCAAGAGTGCTATTTCTTGAGTTTTTTAGCAGCAGTCACCTGTTATTGTGCCTACTGATTTGTTCCTGTGGGAGTGGATGGCCCAGTGTTTTTGATCCTGGTTCACCTTAGGAACAGTTGTCTTTCAAGGGAGCTCCATAGGTGAGCTCCGGAGTCTGGCGGTGTCCCTGTGGGGTGACAGTTTTTGCCATTGTCCAGCCCTTTGATATTCACAGGTCCTCAAACATGTTCTTAGGTTAGTAATAGTTCAGACACACAAAAACGTGAAAAAAATCATACCATGAGCTCCCATATACACCTCCTTGACTGTATCACTCTCCCTACCCACCCCCTTTAGACAGCTCAGATACTGTACTGATATTAGCATTTAACAATCCTGTGCACTTCTGCTTTTACTATATTTAAATATATTATTCAGCTCTTTTTAAACATTACAAATCATATATGTATTCTTCTGTGACTTGTCTTTTTCTTCACATTTTGAGATTAATCCATGCTAATGCATTAATCATACCACTGCTACATGTAACACATCACTGCTCTATGGTATTAGATTTTATGAATATACCACAATTTGTCCACTTTTCTCCTGGAGAACACTTCGGTTGTTTCCTTTTTTCCATTACAAACACTACTACCAAGGACTTTTGAGTACCTCAATCCTGCATTTGCATGTGTTTGTTTAGGATGTATTACCAGAAGAGGAAATGCTGAGTAAAGAGGTGCTTCATCATATTTGATATCACCAAATTGTTTTTCCAAAGGTATTGTATAGTCACATTCCTACAAGCAATGTCCAAAAGTTTGTAAGTTTATTTCTTGGCTCTAGGATTTCCCCACAACCTAAATTACAACCATAAGCTCTGCTGGCACAAGTTTGGATCTAGCCCACAGACCAAGGCATTTGGCTGACCCCAGCCAGTGGGCAAACTTTACTCCCTGAACAGGAGTGGCCACCAGCTCCTGGCTTCATGCCTTGTGGCTGTAACAGAGCGGGAGAGTAGGCGATAAGGTCACAGATAACAGAGCTAGACTGTGGGGTCCTTGTTAGATGGTCCTTCTAAAGACGGGCACTCACTGAGATGAGAGCCATTGCAGGATTTTATGCAGGGGAGGGACAAAATCCAAGTCATAATTCGAAAGAAACCCTCTGGTTATCGTGTGGACAGGCCATAATGGGACAAGGGTGGAAGCCAAACAAGTCAGGAGGCTATTGCAGTCATGTAGGCGAGTTGATGGTGGCTCCTCCAGGAGTGGAGTAGCAGTGATGGGAGATGCAGTTGGATTTTGTTTTTCAAAGTAGTGTCAACATGATTTGCTAACAAATTGGATAAAGTATGCAAGAACAAGAGAAGACTCGAACAGATTCAAAGGGTTCTAGCCTGAGCAACTAGCAGGGTGGAAGTGTCGTCTGGAGGGCCTGGCACTGGCCAGTTGAGTATTTCCAGGATGAGGACTGAGAGAGGCCAAGGCCAGGCTGTGGGAGGCTCACTGAGGTGACTGAGATAGCGGGCCAGTCTCTGCTCAGAGTAACTATAGAGAGATATGGGGATATTTGCTTGGTGGGTTGGGAGGGAGGGCTGTTTACTTCTGAAGTTACTCCACTCCTACGGCTGGTAGGGTGTTTATCAAATTATCGTAAACCCAGTGAGGGCAAGCCATGGCGCTTAAGGATGCTAAAGACTGAAAAACGATTTTCCAGCCTGGAATAAAGTTCACGTGACCACTTTCACTATGGCTGGAGCTCAATCTTACACCCCATACCTGGGGTTGTCACAGGAATGTGGGTCCCAACATCCAGAGGAAGACCATGCAAATAAGGGAAACAGAATGCTGGAGTCCCTAGAAAGAGGAAAAGAAGTTGACTATCTAACAGCAATATCAGGGGTTAAAGAAGGGTGGGTGAGGTACTACCTAGACTAGGTAAGTTAATGACTAAGCTAGAGTATATGAGTCTAATACATAAATATGGTGTGCTGTGTGCTAGGCAGTTTTAAGTGCATTTACATATTTTTAAACTGAATAACCCCGTAAGGGTAGGTACTCTTTTATCCATTTACAAATGAGGAAATTGTGAGCGTGGCTAACTTAGCTAAACAGTAGCCTATCCAGTCTCCCTCCAGAATTTTAACCAGTCTCCTATACTTCCTATGTTGATAGTCACCCTAGAAAACTGCACTTTAAAAAAAAGTGCAGTTTTTTAAAAGTCCTCATACACACTACCCAGACACCCATCAACCTAAACAAAGTTTTTATTCAAAATAAAGAGAAATGTGTATAGAGGGTGGAATCTAAATTTACAGGAAAATACATGAACCAAAAAATGCAAGTTGCAGAACTACATGAGGAATTAATCTATTTATAAAATTCAAAGATACAAAACCAAACAACATACTGTTTAAGGATGCAGAGTAAAACTATAAAGAAAAGTCAGGGAATGATAAAGCCACAGCTCAGCTGGGTGGTTTCCTGGGTAGAAAAGAGAAACTGAATCAAGGGCAGGTTCACTTGTTATTAGTGATGTTCTAAAGCTAGGTGGACACGCTGGAGACAAATGAATTTTAATCCTTAATACTTCCTACCTGAGCTTTAAAATTATTTAACATCCCTGACCCTTCTTTTTCTTGCCTGTAAAGTGGGGTAGATAATACCTACTTTGCAAGGTTGATTTTTAAGGATCCAATGAAGTGAAACATGCAAAAAGCCTAGCACAGACCTATGCACTAAATACACAGTAGCTGCTAAGATCATGATACAGAAAGACACCCCGGAAGCAAACAGAATCATGTGCTTGGGACGTTCTATCATTTAGTACTTAATCGCAAGAATTCAGAAATCCATGGAGGAAAACAGTCAAATTCTTTTCCTATTCTCATCCCATCCCAGTCCCAACCCCCTCTACAAAATTAACCTTAACTGGTAGGCTAGTTTGGTTCTTGCCTTAAGAATAGAGCCAAGTGAAGAGTTTTAATATTTTTAGCAAAGTATTACCTATTTTAACCCACCATGTTCTAGAGAACATGTTTCTTTTAAACAGGGCTAATCCTAAAGTTTTGAGCCAAGGACTGAAGTTCAGGGAATCTTGATCAGAGAATAGCAGTGGGAGCAGGTGTTCCCACATTATGGCCTATCCTCAAGGATTAACATAACAATTTCAAGGAGAAAAAAATAACTAGCAAATGTGATTAAAATAAAGGATAGAAAAAATCTGCTATCACTAAGTAGTAGAGACCAAGCTGGAAACATCCAGATGAGTCAATCAAAAAAATATGATCTCACATGTGGCATCTAAAGAACAAAACAGAAACAGATGATTACGAGATGGGAGAGGAGCTGGATGAAAAAGGGATTAAGTACAAATAGGTTACAAAATAATCATGGGAATATGAAGTGCAGCATAAGAAACAGTCAATAATAATGTAATAACCATATATAGTGCCAAGAATTTAACAAAGCAAAGGCATCACTTTATAAGTTACAGGTCTAATCACTATGGTGTACACCTGAAACTAAAATGCTGTCAACTCTAATCGAAAAAATTTAAAAATGATCATGTTAAAAAAGTCAATAGGTACAGAAACTGATGAGAAAAAGAACTACCACTTGGAGTAATGATGACTACCATTCATCTCCACAATTTTTTTCATCCTGTAAAACAAACCATCCCAACCACTAGTATATTCTTTTAAAACTTATCTGGACAACTTTTCACAAATTCATCAAAAGAAATTAGGTGCCTTTGTCAATATTATCGTAAAAACCCCAAACTAACTTCTAGCACATTAGAATTCTATGGTAATCAATCGAGAAAACTTTAACATCAATGTCGGTGCATCATACAAGCTGTTTCTTGTACACACCTGTAAAGAGATACAACTAAATATCAACTGTAATGCTCCCTCGCTGGTGGTTACTACCTTTCATTTTCCTAAATCTTGTTTAACAATCTGAACAATCTTGTTTTCAATGAGACTAAAGAATCTACTTTATTTGCTTCAAAATATTTTATTGGAATCGTTTTGATATAACCAAACACTTCTTTTAGAACAAAGTATAGAAGAGAAAGCTGATATTTAAGCACTCCCAAATTTTTAGGCAGTTTTTTGCTCCAATAAGTTGA